TAAATGGATTCCTGTGAAATTTTTATTATTTATGAAAATAATTAAATGTTTATGTAGAATGTTGAATTTTATAATAAATTTTTTTTAGTAGGTGTATAATTGAATTCATTCGAAAAATTTTATTAAAATAGTAGATAGGGTCAGCCGGGGTAAATCCGAACGCTAATTATTTCAGCTTAATTAAAATTTTTAAAAATAAGTTAGACATGAGAATTTTTACCTGAGATCCTCTTCAAGAGATTCTAAGTATTATCCCATTTTTCGTTTGTTAATTAGCAACAGCATAAACAAAGATAACGAGTATTGCAAAAAAGATTGAAAATCAAAGATGACACTCTTTCAGTACTTTGTCTCGTATTTGAAGAAAAAGAAGCTAAAAATTCATTTTATTATTTATAATTGTTTGTTATGAATACTAGAACAAAAACTATTTTTGATTTTTGCCTTCTGTTAAATTTTATTAATAATATCAGACCGTTCGTATTTACCCCGGAAAATTGAAAAACCGGGGTAAATCCGAACGGTATTTTCAATAATTTTTTCTTATATCAGAGCCACACAAAATTGTTTTTATTTGATTACACTATTATTTTAACATTATAAAAGTACATAGAAAAAAGTTTTTCTTTCTATATGTATCCTCGTTAGTAATTAATAAGCAGAAACTTAATCTCTGTTCTCTCGAAGGAGTGTTCCACTTTTTTTGCCAAATGGTTTGTTGAAAAAAGTTTTTCAGGATCTTAATAAAATTTAGTATTCTAGGGTTTTTGGGGTCACTGATTACGAATTTAGAGTTAGTTTTTTAAAATTCAAAATGGCGGATCCAATATGGCGGACGAAAATTAAAAAATTCATTGGATTCGCTCGAAAATTGTTACTCGGGGGATTTCAGGTTCGCTGATTACGAATTTAGAGTTAGTTTTTTAAAATTCAAAATGGCGGATCCAATATGGCGGACGAAAATTAAAAAATTCATTGGATTCGCTCGAAAATCGTTACTCGGGGGTTTTCAGGGTTGCTGATTACGAATTTGAAGTCAGTTTCTCAAAATTTAAAAATCACTTAAAAATCAAAAGAAGCGGATTAAAATTTCTAAAACTGGAGGAATTTTTATGAAATTTGTGTATCATATTGTACCCGCCATTCTGAATGATGAAGCTCTGATGCCCAATTCGTCATCAGCGACCCCGAAAACCCCCGAGTAACGATTTTCGAGCGAATCCAATGAATTTTTTAATTTTCATCCGCCATATTGGATCCGCCATTTTGAATTTTAAAAATCTGACTTCAGATTCGTATTCAGCGACCCCGAAAACCCCCAAGTGGCAAGATTTAAACAAATTTGATCATTTTTAATAATAAGTTTTAGTCTGCCATAATAGTAGATAAAACAGGTTTATTAATTCATCTGGTGAAATAGATGACTAGCAATTAGTGAAATTTTACTAAAAAATTCGTAAAATTTCACATAATATAATTAAAAATATTGTACTAATTGAAAAGGGAAAAGTCGTCCGCATGAAAACTACTATAACAATTAGTAAAATTTCACTATTTGTTAGTATAATTCTACTAACTCAGATGTAGAGAGTAATTAAAGCTTGTTCAGAAAAAAAAATTATAAAAAATGCCAAATTAATAACAATTGACAGCGGTTAAAGTTTTAACGTAAGAAAAGAAATTTTTTTTTGCAAGAATTAAAAAAAATCTAGAGAGGAGGGGGAGAAAAAGACAAAACTTTTTAGGATTGTTTATTAATTAACGCTGAGTGAGGAAAAATAAATAATAATAAAATATATTATAAACAATGTCAATTGTTAATAAAAATTGACAACAGTCAAAGTTATAATTAATAAGCAATCCTAAAAGTTTTGTATTTTTCTCCCCCTTAGACTTTTTAAATTCTTGTTTTGTCTAAAAAGTTCCCTTCCTTACACTAAACTTTGACTGCTGACAATTCTTATTAATAATTAACATTGTTTATAAATATTTTCTCGTCCAGCCTTATAACTAATTAGCAATCGTACAAAGTATTATATTTTATAATATATAATAGGTATTGAAATTGTATCTTTGAAAATTAAAATGGTTTTGAGCTTTATTGTCAAAAATCTCTGGATTTTAAAAAAGTAAAATGGTCTTAAATTTTGTTTATGATTTAAATTTTGGATATAGGCATTTTTGAAAAAATGACCCGTGTTCTTATAAAGAGTCACATTCTAATATATTCATGTTTCTTAGTGCGAAAATTAATAATTAACATTTTTCTTTGTTAATTTAAAAAAAGGTACACACTTAAAATTTTTTAATAAAATTGAATTTTCGCAAAGTTTTTTTGAAAATTGTGAAAAATAAGATTTTTGAAATTTTTCAATTCTATCGTTTCAAGATAATTGAATTTTTATAAACAAATAATTGAAATTTCTTTACATTCTATTAAAAATAATTAAATTCTTTTAAAGAATTATATTTAAATTTTTTGAAAAAAAATCAAGGGAAGTTTGTCACCGTAATTAAAATTTTATTTTTAAAAATTTCGTTGCAATATATTCAATTGTTTTCATAAATATTAAAACTCATTACAGAATTTCAATTATTTTTAATACAATTTTAATCAAATTCCTTGAAAAATGTAATTATTCTTTAAAATTTTATTAAAATTCGTCGACAGAATTAAATTATTTCTAGAAACTGTAAAAAAATTCTTCTTAAGAATTCAATGATTTCCATAAATAGCAAAATTCTTCTGATTTACTAAATTCTTTAGAATATTATTTTTAGAAAAAATTCTTCACAAGAATTCAATTATTTTCATAAATTTCCATAAAATTCTTCGCAGAAATTCAATTAATATTAAAATTTTTTTTAAATTCTCAAAATTTCAATTATCTTTATAAATAATTAAATTGTTCTTTACAATTCAATTATTTTTAAAAATCTTAATAAAATTCTACGCAAACATTTAATTATTTTCATAAATAATAACATTCTTTTGAAGGATTCAATTACTTTTATAAATATTAAAATTCTTTTCAGAAATTCAATTATAGTACTTATCAATACATTTTAATAAAATTGAATTAATCAAATTTTCAATTATAATTATGAACGGATAAGATTATTTTAAAACCGCTGCCAAGTTGTACATTTTTATAATTTTGGTGTTCATTTCATGAACACTTTTGTTTCCTCATAGAAATAATAATAATTGAAATATAAGAATTACTTTTTATTAAAGGGTTAAAAATCTTTAAATCTTGGTCTAAAAAATGTGTTTTTATATATTCTATAGGATGGTAATAATAGTTTAATAATTACACATAAATTAATAAACAAGAATGTTGAAAAAATGATATTTTCCACAATTTTTGATTTTTCAAATACCAATAATTTCATAATTTCTGCCCGAATCAGGTTCAAAAATAGGTCAATCGAAGCGTTTTTTAATGCTCTTCAAGTTGGTAATAATTTTTTGAAGTTACTTTTACATAATTTAAAAAAATTTTTATAAAAGTCTTATTTTTCAAAATTTTAGATTTTTAAAAGTTTAATATCTCCGGTTAATATGGACGAAAAATGTTCAATTAGAGCTCAAAAGATGCGTCTGAAAAAACTCTACAAAACTAAATACAAAACAAAACTAAACTTCTACATTTTTTAACAAAATTTTTAAAAAAGTCTTATTTTCCAAAATTTTCGATTTTTAAAAGTTTAATATCTCCGGTTAATATGGACGAAAAATGTTCAATTAGGGCTCAAAAGATGCGTCTGAAAAAACTCTAAAAAACTAAAGAAAAAGATTTATAAGTGTCCTAACATTTTTTTAAGTTATGTCCAAAAAACGTTTTTTTACTAAATGAAAAATGCAAAAAAAAAAGTTAAACTTCATGAATCGGGCTGAAAATACTCTCATTTTATGTCCCCCGGGGAGACCTACAATTTAAAAAAAAATTGAGGTCTTTAGCTTTTTCTCGTTCTGAGATATTGAGGCAAATGTAATGTTAGCACACACACACACACATCGGGACAAATTTTTAAAATCCGTTTTTTGGACTTTGGAGGTCAAAATATGTCGAAATTTTTTTTTATTTATTTGGAACATTTATATACGGGGAGTTCCTGTGCATATATGAAGTACTAAAGTATTAGGCATAATAAAAAAAAATTTATAAATATGTCAAAAAATGACAATCCAAAATTTTGCTAATACAAAGCTTCCTTTATGAGGAAGCAAAATTGAAAAAATTCATTGTTTAATTCAATTATTTTCCAAATTTTTAATTAAAATTATTAAAGAAATATTATTTTAAAAAAATTTAAAGAAACTCGTAAAAAGAATTTAATTATTCATAGAAACTCTAATAAGAATTTTTGAAGCCATTTGTATATATTTATTTATGTTCGAAATCAAATAAATTTAAAGATAAGAAAAAAAAATTGAGAAAAAATAGGACAAAGCCGGGAAAAAACGGGGAATTTTGTTGAACGAAAATAGTAGACACCATGAATCTTGTTTGCAACTTAAAAAGAAAAATTGAGCTTAATATTAATTTATCAGTGGAAAAGTAATTATTTACTGAAATGAAGTAAATGTTTTCCTCATACTCTAAATAATTTTTCATTTAAATCGAAAAAAGGAAGGTACCCCAATAAGAAAAAGCAATTGAACCAAATAACACTTTTCAAAAAGTCATCTTTACTAAATAAAGTTGAAACAACTTTGTTCTGATTTTCATTTCTCTATTAAAATCGTTAATAAAAAGCAGGTATTCTCGGTTTAATAATAAAAGTTTAATTAGCGGTAAGTAATACAATATGCTAATAGGGAAATTGATAATAAAGCCAATATTGAAATTGAGATGTTGATGATGTTAGAGAGGGAGGGAGAAAGAGAGAATATTCTACATATATACATAAAGCTAATGGAGATTGAATTACTTTTGAGTATAAAGTTTTGAGGAAAATGGAGAGTTATATATATAGTGCGCGACTCTACTCACCGATTGTTGTGATAAGCGTGAGAGAGTAAAGGAGGCTGCTACTAAAGGTCCATCTCCGTAAGTGAGATCGTTTCTCGTTAAGATCACGACGCCGTGTTGGTATGACGGATTCGTATACAGAATGGGAAAGAGGACTTCTCAAATCACGTGCCAAACTCTCCTGAAACTTGAGGACTTCGTGCGCGGCCAATCGAGTCCAATTCTCCTTGTAGAGGACGTTTAAATCTTCGGTCAAACTCCAAAGCCTCTCGACCGTTTGTGCTCTCAGTTGTACCGCCGTGTTATCCTCTTCAATAATTGGAACTAGCGAAGATGGTGAAGACGACGATGAAGATGCTGCGGCTGCTGCTGCTGCTGCTGAAGATGACGACGATAATGATGATGATGATGACAAGGAGGATGATTGGGATGAGGAAGAAGAGGACGCGGACGAAGTTGAAGAAGACGAAGACGACGACAGCGAAGATAATCCGCCACTTCCTGAGGCGTCGGTTTTCTGGTTTGAGGATGACACTATCTCAGTTGGTGGATCCTGTACAACAATGAACAATTCATCTTTTCAAAACTCGGACTATAACAATGGGGACGTTTTATTTAACAAAAATAGACAATTAACTGCTACTTCTACTACTACTACTACTACTACTACTATTGCTACTTTATCTTTTTGTGTTCTCTTTATACTCGGTTCTGTTCTCTTCCCCCTGACCTGCTACTTCACTCTCTCTCAATGCCATTGATATTTCACGTAAGAGAGCTTTTTCTCGAAAAGCTTTTTCTTCTAATTTCGTTTATCTGAAGCTACTCGTCGCGTCATGTACCATTTTTTTCTCCCCCGGACTTTTGAAAGTGAAGTGTTTCGGAGACATTTGAACAATTCACTTTTAAAAGTTGACGTTAAAATATTCTATTTCTTCTTTTTGATATTTAATATTTTATAATGATTGTTGGTAAATATTTGTTATTTAATAGGAAATAATTAATATTTAATAGGAAATACGTTATATTTAACAGGAAACATTTGATATTTAATAGGAAATATTTAATATTTAATAGGAAATACTTGATATCTAATATATAAGGGGTTTCTCACTTAAGATTCCGTTAGATTCATTTAAACATTGCCTGACAGATTTTTACAAATTCATGCGATGTTGAACGTTTTATCTAGTACCTTGCGCACGCGTTTAGTGACAGACTTTGACAGACTTTCACGAAATCTAACATATAATAAATTATAGTTTTGTTGAATCAGAGTATGACAAGATCTGAATTAGAATATTGCCCTATTTCACGAGTGAGAAACCCCTCGCACTTATATTAAATAGTGACCAAGTGATAACTTTGAAAAAATAATAATAAAATAAATGTTAATAATTTTTTTTGCTTTGTTTAACTCTCTGAATTCGTGAAAAGTTGTTCACCAGTTGAAATTATTAAAAATTTCTACTAATTTCTAGTAGTTTTTCACTAAAACTTTTATCAGGGTTGCCACAGGTAAGGGATATCAAGGAAAAGCCAGGAAAGAATTTTTATTAAAAGTACTGAAATAAATTTAATTTTTAAAATTCATAAGAAATTTCTAAATTTTGGTATTTTTTTTTTGTTAATTTTATTAGAAATTATAAAGAACTTTGATATTTGAAATAAATATTAACAATTCAAATTCTTTTGAAATTAGTTAAATTCCTCTATATGAATTTAATTAATTATTAAAAATACTGGATTTATAGAAGAATTTTAGTTAAAAACACTAAAAGAATTTAATTTTGGAGAAGTTAGAAATAATTGGAAAAACTCAATTATTTTTAAAAGTATCTAATAAAATTCGTCGCAGAAATTCAATTATTATGTTAAAAAATTTAAGAAAAATCTCGTCAAAAATTCAATTATCTTTATAAAAATAACAATATTCTTCTCCAAAATTCAATTATTTTCAAAAATTTTAATAAAATTCTTGGCAAAATTTGAATTATTTTCAAAAATTTCACTCAATACAATGATTTTCAATATCTACTATTTTATTAAAATTTTTCAAATGAATTCAATTATACCAATAACTAAAAAAAATTTTTGATAAAATTCAACATTCTACATAAACATTTAATTATTTTCATATATAATAAAAATTTCACAGGAATTGAATTATTTACAAATTTTTTATGAATTTCTTTGCAATAATAATTCAATTATTTTCATAAATATTACAATTATTTAAATAGAGATTCAATCATTTGGAAAAATAATAAAATTCGTTTTAGAAATTGAATTATATTCATAAATAATAAAACTTATAGCAGAATTTTAATTATTTTTCATAAAATTTTAATTGAATTCCTCGAAATTATTTTTAAAAATTTTATTAACATACGTCGAAAGAATTCAATGTTAAGAAATATTCAATTATTTAGTAAATTAATTATTTTTCAATTTAAATAATTGAATTTTCGTAGAATTTACTAATAAAAATGTATTTGAAAATTAATTTCTGTTAAAGTTTTAGTTAATAATTGAATATTAAAGCATAGCATGCATTTTTAGAAATAATTGGATTTTTGTAATTATTTGAAGTTTTTATTTTCTTATAGGTATATGTTAGGCTCAAAAGCCGAAAACGGCCAATGGCCGGAAAGAACAGCCAAACCTAGTTTTGGCAAGTGCAGTTTTGACAAAACTAGGTTTGGACGTTTCACTTCGGCCATTGTCCGTTTTAAATTGCCAAAACTAGATTTGGCAAATCGACATTTGCCAAAACTAGTTTTATAATAAAATTTAATTTCTCCAACACTTGCTCTGAAAGGAGTACTTTTCTTGGTAGAAAAGTGTGGCGAAAGTAGAACTTTTCTCAACTGCTCTGAAGAGCGTAGTGAAAGTAAAATTTGGCGTGGCGAAAGTAAATTCAGCGTGGCGAAAGTAATTTTTAGCGTGGCGAAAGTAAATTTGGCGTGGCGAAAGTAAATCATGAATTTATTCTTTTTTCTTGTTCTTTGACCGAGATTTATTTTGTATCTAACTTCTTCCCCACTCAATACATTCGTCTTTTATTATATTAAACATAAGAACATTTTTAATTAAAATTATACGAAACTCACGAAGAAACCTTTCCTCGCAAGTCGTTCGAGAAAACGTAGTGCACAACTCGTGGTGAAAGAATGATTTTTCGAGAGCAGCAAACTTCACTCTCGAAAAATCACACTTTCGCCACTAGTTGTACAATGTACTATTTTATGAAACATTTAATTATTCAATAAATTATTTTTTGTATTTAAATAATTGAATTCTCGTAGAATTTTCTAATAAAATTTGATTTAAAAATGAATTTTTAGTTAAAATTTTAGATAATAATTGAATATTAAAAGCATAATACAGGGTGAATTTTTAGAAATAATTGAATTTTTAAAAGGGTTCGAATTAAAATCTTTGAAAATTTGCATTTTTTATACTTTTAACTAACAATTCTGTTGAATTAATTTTTTTGAAAAAATTTATCTGAATTTTTTTTGAAATTATTCAAGTTTTCATTTTCTATAATATATATTTGTTGTGTACCTACAAAAGAAATCAATAATATTTCGCAAAACTGAATTGTAAACAAATGGATTTGAAAATTCTCAAACAACTTTTTTAAAAAGTGTTAAAAATAATTGATTTAAATAAGAACTTTTGGTTGAAAATTCTGGAAAATATTAATTGAACTGAAATCATGAAAATAATTTTGAAAAAGTTAAAGTAACAACCCAATGGGAAATTTACAACTGGCGTAGTACTGCGCCAGCACTGGCATGGCACTGGGATGATAACGCCGTCTGGCGCTGCCGAAGTACTGTCTGTCAGTGCTGCCAGACAGCGCTGGCGCAGCACTGGACCAGTGCTGGCTGAGAATATTGCCGCAATAAATGCCGTATTGTTATTAATTAGTCGTAAATTCATAATTATAAATAATTTAACAACAAAATGGTAAATAATATTAATAAATAGTTATTATTCATAAAATATTTATCTTCTTAAAGAAATTGTATTAAAGATGGAGACTAACAATGGATATAGTAAATGAAGTAGAAAAAAATTGTTTATAACATTTAAAAATTAAATAATAAACAATTACAGTAAGTGTGCATTAGATTTTCAAATTTTAGTACCTAACGATTGGAATCTAGAAATATCGCAAACCTATGAAAATAAACAAAATTGCTGACGAGGGGAATCGAACCTACGACCTACGGACTAACAGACTAACGCTCTAACCACTATGCTAACGACACATGTATACAGTAAAGTATTAATATCTCAGTATCATTCAGACATACAATTATTGAGTCAAAGATGAGAAAAAAATAGGGATACGTTAGAAATAATAAATTGAAATAAAATAAATTGAACTAAATTTTTAATAATTAAATTACTTTACTTATTGCATTTAACATTTTACGTCATTCTTAAATTACGTGGTAATTTTTTAATAATTTTTTATTCGTAGTAAGAAGTATAATAGTATTTTTCTTCATACCTCGGTCGAAAGTACGTATTTCCCGCTGCGATTTCGCAGCAGAAAGTCAAACATTTGTGCTTTGGTTGATTTTCATACCCAACCTCTATTACATCGGGAGTAAAAGAATTCTCTGTCGGTAAAAACACCACTGTCGGTAAATAAGAAAATTTTGAGTTCAATGACAATTTAACGAGTAATTATTGTTATCGCAATATAAAATGAGGAAAAAAATTATCAAGAAAACTTTTTATACTTTATAAATTTATTATCCACAAGCTCTGAATATTGAAATGAACGAAATCTTTTGCTGATATAATTATTTTCAAAAATTATTTTAATAAACATTAAAATCAAAAATAAAATAATTAATAATTTTGTAATTTCTTTTTTAATACGTGCCAAAATGTTATTATAAAATTGTAATAATTTTAAGAAATAATGAAAGTGTTTTCATTAGAATGTTTAGAATTTTAGAAACATAGAATTAATTTTGTACCACCAGAAAAATTCTTTTGAAAATATATAATATTAATTTATCTTTCACATTTTTTTTCGTGCCTGCCCCCGACCAGAAGCACTCGCTTCGCTCGTGCATCAAATGTCGGGGCAGGCGAATATTGTTTGCAAGAGAGAGACAGAGAAAAAACCAGAGCTTCACGAGTGTCCGCTAGAGGCGTTGAAGCGAGGAGCAAAAGTAAATAAAGATGGCCGGCTGTCAAATGAAACTCGATTGCAATTTTCTAAAAAAATAAATTACCCAGCGTACTTTCGACCGTATATAAAGAAAAATAGTATACATTACACGGGCAGAAATTCGAAAGCCCTAAACTACGCGATAATGCCCTCGGCTTCGCCTCGGGCATCATTTCGCGCAGTGCAGGAATTTCGAACTTTCTGCCCTTATAATGTAATATACTATTAATAGGAACCAAATTATTATTGAGATTAAAGTTTAAATTTTGTTTATAATTTTAATTTGTTTAAATAATTTATTATTTACAAAATTAGACAATTGTGTTAAATTGTTATTATGAAATTTAATA